AAAAAAAAAAAAAAAGGGAAAAAAAAACCTGGAAAAAAAAAAAAAAAAAAAAAAAAAAAAAAAGAAGAAGAACAGAAAGGGAAAAAAAAGCCTTGTTTATTTGCAGAGTCCTCATGCAGAATTCAGCCTCCGCAGGAAATGTATCCCAGGGAGGAGGTAAAGAGTTTAATATGGTTTTTCTGGAAGCAGGCTCCATTTCTGAGCAGGAATAAATGAGTCTCTGGCAAAACAGCTTTTAGCAGGGGGTGTGACACCAACAGTGCTGTCCCTGTGGGGCTGGGGGTTCACCATCCCACACACTCCAGGCTCCCAGATGGATGCATGGGATGCTGACCCATCTGTAGGAACATGCCCATCTGCCCTCCCTCTAAAGGTATTTCCCTTGGGAAGCAGGCAGAGCTGGCTGGAGCTGCTGATGAGGAATTTTCCTTCCAGGTTTGCACCTCCACCTCACCCATGTGTTCATAAGAGCAGTTCTTACCTGTTCCTCCTGTGGCATGAAGCATTTTTAAGTGATCCACTGTCATTTGGAGAATTTCTGCCTTCTCCAGCTTGGAAGACCCCTGTGTTGGGAGCAGAAAGGAAAAGCCATTTGTCATTTTATGGTCCAGGGCTTTGTGCCTCTCAGGAGCTGGGGTCTGACCAATGATTTCCTCCCTGAAGCCAGGAGTGCTCAGAATGGTGCAGGGCATCCACCAGCGCTCTGTTTTTCACATCAAGCAAGAAGAAAAAAGACCTCCTTCCCAATGCAGATTGAAAAATCCCCATTTCTATGCTTCCTCATATCTGCAAAACCCTCCCTAGATTGAATTTATCCTCCCCAGGGCTCCTGAATATTTGCTAATATCATTCCACCACCCCATTTCCACCACCTACTTACTCCCTGGAGTGAGGATGATAAGGAAGGCACAGCCTTACTCCAGACTTCCTCGTTCTGGGGGCTGTAGCCCAAACCCTGCAGCCCTCAGGGAGGGCACCAGGGGCTCCCACAAACACAAACCTGCTTCTCAAAGGCCGTGGGCACCAGGCGCCGCAGCTCCGAGAGGCTGCTGTTGATGCGGTCACGGCGCCGCTTCTCGATGATCTGTGGGAGATTTCCAAGCAGACAGAGGAAAACCAGAGTCACTCACAGGCACAGCTCACGGATCCAGAGCCCTCCAGGTGCTTTGGGAGGGCCGTGTGTGTGAATGTTTTGGGGTGCAAAGGTTGAGAGAAGAAACGTGAGCTGGTGTGATAAGCCCAGGTGAAACTGCCAGGTTTGAGGTCAAATCTCTGGGGAAAAAAATTGGCTTTGGGGAGATATCTGGAGGGGTGTAAAGGTGATTTTAATAGTAAGGACAGGCCAACAGCCCCCCCTGGCACACGTAAAGGACACTCACCCCTCTCCTCTTCTTCCTGGCTTGTATTTGAGATGTCGTGGTAGGAGACACAGACCTGGAAACATGGCTGGAAAGGAAGGAGATGGGATCACTTCTGGCTGGAGAGCAACCTCAGTTGCACATATGTTCTACACACGTTTGCCATCTGCAGTTTCCTCCCCCCACCCCAAAAAATGTCTTCTGTGGCTGCCATCTCATTTTTACCCACAACACAGAGCTCAGGAATTGGGGATGGGGAGCAAAGCAGAGACTCGAATTCCACTCTCTCCCCTCCGAGAATCTCCCACCAGTCTGGGACAGCTTTCTGCACCAAACTGTCCATCCACTCCCAGGCACAATTCTTCAATCCCCACCTGTGATGGGGCTGGAAAAGCAGCGCTCTGAACTCTAAAGCCATGGCCTTTTTTCCTCCATGTGTGAACCTCCCATCTCTCGTGTCTGAGCCTGCCCTGTCTGCAGGGCTTTGCATCTCAGAGCCACGATAGCAGGAGGGATCTGAGCTCTGGGATCCGAGCTCCCACCCAGGGAGGGCTGGCTGCTCCTCGGGGTGAGGCCAGTGGTGGCACTGATGTGGTTTCTGAGGGCTTCCCAGAGAGTCGCTTCCCAAACCACAATTTTCGGGGTGGGCTGGGATGTTCTGAACTCACGGACACCCCTGAACCGTTCAGAGAGGAGCTGGGCAGGGAGGACACCTGGCAGGAGGTGACAGAGCAGGGACCCTCCTGCTGGCTCACAGCTCTGCTCAGGGGATAAGGGACATCGTGGGGACAGGCCGAGGAAGGGGGCCCCACAAACCACCCTGTGCCTGCCACAGAAAAAGCACCAAAGGTCAGCACTGGACGTGCAGAGAGAGGCAAAGTTCAACCCTTAGGTCCCTGTGGAGGTGAAGTCTCCACAACCATGGATAACCGAGCGTGGGAAACTCCCTGCAGCAAGACCCCGTGGCTGAGGAGGGGGATGAGGCTGGCTGGGCCACCTCCCACCTCCCCCAAGCAGGGTTTGTCCCTCTGGAAAGTGCAGCTGGCTCGGGGCTGTTGCTGTGCCTTACGAAATTCGGAGCAGGGATGTGCACACGCACCCTCCTGCAATCCCGGCCAGCCCAGCTCGTGTCAGACACCCAAATCTGGGAAAGGGGCACTCGGGTTCACCCCAATCTGAACGTTTTTTTCAGTTTGACAAAGCATTTTTAACAGGAGTCTATTAAGGATTTTCCTGCACAGGCAGTGCTGTCTGCAGCAAGCTGAAAACTAGACCCAGCTCAGCCTATTAAAAATAGGCCCAAGCGAGGCACTTTCAGAAGTGGTTTTACACAATAACACGTTCTTCTACTGCCTGCTCATCTCCATACAGGTCCCCTATTTGAATGTCTGCTGGGTGGGCTCTCTCTGGGCAGAGGTGCTGGCTGGCTCCACAAGTACTAACATGCGTTGCCAGCTACACAGGCACACAGAGAATGAGAAAATTTTGATGTGAAAACAGGCTCTGTGTGGACACTGTATGGGGTGTTTTAGGTGCAGGGGGTAGGTGCTGAATTCACTTGGAAATGCAAAGTAGGCACCCAAAGAAGAATAGTGATTTTTGAAACTCTTTGTAGAGCTTCAGGTCCAGACGTGAATATCAACACCCATCTCACTGCAAAATGTATTTTACAAATAAATCTGGTGGATTCGAACCACATAAAAGATACTGTGGGTATATTTCCCAGTGATTAAAAATTTCTGCATTGCTCTTTGGTTTTATCATCCACAGCATAGCTTTGGCTGTGAACTGAGCAGATCTTGCACTTCTGCAGTGACCCCGGAGCCTAAACTTGCTCCACACACTGATCCAAGCCTCACACCCGGCGTGACTCATCCCCTCACTACAGGGAAACTGGTTTGCCCAAACCACTCAACCGATGGGTAATGAGCTGGGAACCCCAGCCAGGCAGCCTCCCTCTGCTCTAATCACTCCTCCCCACCTGGAAGTGTTTGATTTTTCTGGGAGCACCAGCATCCCATGCAGGATGGCATTACTTGGGGTGTGACCTCACAGCTTTTTTGGCCGTAGATTTGCGTGACATGAGGAACAACATCCACCTATACGAATATCAGCAGATCACAGCCAGCCTGGTTCTACCACTGCCTCGAGAAGACAAACACATTAACAGCACCGGAGAGAGATTAAAAGTTCATCATTACCGGTCACCGAAATAAAATATTGTGACAATTCCAATATTTTATCCCTCGGGGTCCTGTGGACTCCGTGCTGCACTGATGTGAAGAGGTGGGATGCATTCCACCTGCAGCAGGAAAGCAGCTTAAATATTGATGCGCTTGGAAATTGCATAAGAGCTCAGGGAATTTCTGCAGGACATTTTTGTGTAAGATGTGCCCGACTCTGCTGCGACTGTATCAGAGGCAGATTCATGAATTTAGTCCCACGAGAACCTGAGCTTGGCACCAGGCAGGCAGTTTCTCTGCTCAGGATACCAAAGAGCAAAGAGGGAATGAATTAATCCAAGGCCTCGCTGGACGCAGAGGGAGGGGGGACACTTGGCTGCTGAAACAAGAGTTCAAAAGCAGCTGATTTTTGGATGGGAACAAATAACAGAGCCTTTCCTTCATCCCCTGCACCGCCCGCACCCTCGGAGCCTGGGAGGGCTGACCCAGCCTGGGAACCCGGGCTGCCAGCGGCGCTGGGGATGCCCGGTGCCAGGGAAGCCTGAGGGCATCGCCTGGAGAGCCCCACACGGGTCCTGTCCTCACCATTCCCGCACGAACAGCAAAGCTGAAAGGGCAGAGATGGGACAGAGCCTGCGAGCTGCGCTGCCGAGGGGCACCAGGGCAGCCCTCTCTTCCCTGCTCGGGCTCTCCCTGCTGCCTTACGAATGCATCAGCACAGCAGAAGCGTTTTTCTCATGCAAAACCTCTCTCGGTTTCTTCCACATTCCCCGGGAGCCCTGGGGTGGCCGGGAGCGCAGGGATGTGGGTGATTCTGCTCTAGGGGGGCTGCCCCATCTCGGGGTGCACAGAACGGGCTCCTACTGCCCTTCTCGCACCTGGCAGGAGAATCCCCCGCGCTGGCTTTAATGAGATTCTCTTGAAGCTCCTAACACAGCTTTAACATTTGTATGGCCACTTGGGTTTCCTTGTGGGGTCAGCCCCACAGCCAGCACCGGCCCTGACCGGCACTTTGGGGTCATCCTGCCGGTCCCCGTAGGAACAGCCCGACCCTGAGGGGTTAAACGAGGTGCGAGGGACTCCCGGTACGGCGGTGGCAGCGCCGGTGCCTTCCCGTTCTGTGCCCCGGTACAGCCGTGGCAGACCCGGTGCCCTCCGGTGTCCGTGCCCCGGCAGGCACGGAGCAGCTCGAGGTGGGAGCGGTGCCGCGACCCCAAAAAACCCGCGTGGGACGGAGCTGTCCTCACCTGTACTCCTCCTCCCGGCCCACGTCGATGGTGCCGTCAGACTCCGTGTCGGACGAGCTCTCCTCGCAGAGCCGCTTCATCTTGGCTGGGGGGAGATGCCGAGGTTGCCCCACGCGTGGCCCCGGTGGCCAGCGCCGTGCTTGCCCGCCGTGCTCGGGGCAATGCTCTGTCCCTGCCCGGGCTCCTCCGCTCCGGCCTCGCACGGCTCCTCCCCTGCCCGCTCTGCCTCTCCCACCCCCGGCTCTCCTTCCCTGGCTCCCTCCCGGCACGTCCCCACCTCCCGGGTAATGGGTTAATGAGCCACCATCTCCCGGGAGTGACGGATTACGCGGCCGCGCCGGCGCTCCCCGGTTCCCAGGGCCCCCCCTCGCCTCCCTCCCGCTCGCTGGTCGAAATCCCAAGTCTTCCTGTAAAAGGAACAGTCTGTGTGAACCGTCTCATGTCCCCCCCCTTCCCTCCCCTCCTGCCCACGGCCCCCCTTCCACCCGCTGCACATTGGCCTCAGCCCCAGTTTAAAGGGACCAGTGACCTCACTGGCAACAGAAAACCGTGGGAAAGAGATGGGACTGATAAAGCCTTGAGTTGTTTCAGGGAAAAATCAACATCCAGCCCCACACGCACACACATGTCTGCCCGGCTCCGCGCGGCGCAGGCACTTCGCAGGCTCCCGATTCAGATGGAAACCGGCTTGTTTCGAAGCGCGCTGCTGTTTGAGGACACCGCTCAAAGGGCCCTCGACTGGCATTAATTCATCAGTGGCCACTGAGGGCCAGGGTGGCAGCGGTGGCACCGGGCTCGGGCCAGGTCTGTTGGTCCCGCCGGGATCTCGGCTCCCTGCCACGCTCCCACAGCCTTGGAGCCTCTTCAAGCGCCAGCTCACGGCGCTGCCAGGGCATTTGACACCTACCCTGTGGGACAAGCCCAGCTTTAGGCTTTGTAACACTGGGATGAATCGCTGTTTTCTGGGCTCTTTCCGCAACGCTGGAAAGTTTAACCCACAGCCCAGCATCGGGCGAGCATCTCCCTTTTCCCTGCTCTTGCAGGAATCTGTTTTTCAGAGCCCTGCGCTGCTAAAATCCCCCAAGGCAGCAAAAACGTGCGCGTGTGGGAGAGAAGACAGAGAGAGGGGAGGAGGGAGAGCGCCGAAGTGGAGGTTCCCAGTACGAAAATAATGCCTTTTATTTTGAAGAAAATAATCAGCGCTGAGATCTGGCAACACGTGGGTTTCCCAAAGCCCTTCTGCAGAGACCGTGGCGGCGATAAGAGCCCGTCGGCGCTCGGGCCAGCCAAGCCACCCGTCCCCTGTGGCCTCCTGGGGTGCTCCCTATCTCCCTCAGCCATCTCTGCCAGCTCACCCACGCTGCACCCGCCAACACCGAGGTGTCTGCAATTCCCCAGCAGCTCCGGAAAAGGCAAATCCCGGCTCCTGCCTGCCCTTCGCCCACGCCTGCCCCAGCTGAGCGAAGCACACACACCCCAAACCCCTCCCCGAGCAGTTTTTTGGGGCTGAACCACACCGTGCTCCCTTCTGGAGGGAAGCAGCAGGAACCTGAACCGGCCGTGCTGGGCTGGAGTGGAAAGCTGACATCTCGGCAGTGTTTGTAAACCCAAAAAGGGAGTAAAAGCTTTGCTTTCGGTCACAGCACTTTGTTACTCTAGTTCTGGTGTTTTGTTTTCACTATGAGAAGTGGTCAAGAAGCCGAGCTGTTATTAGCTTACATTTCCAAATGAAAAGTTACTTTGAAGCAGAAGATTTCGGAAAGTGTTATTTTAGCAGTTTTGAGACCCGCTCCTCCTCCCTTTCCAAAGTGATTTCAGTTAGAAACACATACATCTCCAAACCAAACTTCCCATAAACATGTGTTTTTGAGAGATTAATTCTCTTTCCACTGATAAAACCATTTAAATGGGATCCTGAGACTGGTTGTTTCAGGCTCTTGTTCATATCACAGCAAGCCTGAACCAAGCCGAGCCCAGACCTGCCACAGAGGAACACTTTTCTTCTCCAATAGAAAGGAATTCACTGTCCAGACTCCATCTTTTCTGGGCCCTGTCTAAGCATCATTATCTGGGTTCAATTGAAGTGTAATTGGCAACATGTTTTTCTAGGATTACACTTCATTATGAACAGAGCAGGGGCCCCGAAACCCACTTCTCCTGTAATCGGATCTGTTCTCCAGCCTGTGCTCCTGGAGAGTCGTTTATAATCGACCCCAGGATCCCAGGGGGGATTGTGAGGGGCATCTGAACCACCCCAGACAGAGCAGAGACCCCTGACAGGTTCAGTGGAGACAGCAGGGAAGGATTAAACGGGTTTAGCTGCATGAGGGGAGCTGGATTTCAGGAGTGTCACCCATCCCTGACCTCCCCCGCTGCAGGCAAGGGGAGCTGGGGTGCAGAAATTGGGGTTCTGCCCCTCCTGGCCTCTCACTGGACATCTTTGCAGCCAATTCCCACAGTACAGTGACCCCGAGGGCAGAGCCACAAGCAGTGGGTGACCAACATCTGCCCAGAGCCAATTTGCTCTTCCCTGGAGAGCTCCAGGCTTTGCCACAGCCAAGCCAGGGAATTATCAGAGGAAATCTCTCCCCAAGCCCTGAATTAACAGCGCTGGCCCCGTGCTTGGGGCTGTTTCCCCTCTGGAACCACAGCAATGATTCTGTCCCCATCCCTGGGACCCCTGTGAGACCCTCAGGGACCCAGGAGCTGCTGAGAGCTGTCCCCTGCTCCCGCTGGCTGTGCCTCTCCGTGGTGGGAACCGTTTCCAGAGGATGGGTGTCACGAGGACGGGGCTAAGCCATCCATCACACCCAGCACTAATTGGCTCCCCTGCCTCAGAGGCCAAGGAATAAGTGAGCTGCAAAGATTGATGTCCCTTCCCTGCAGCAGGAAAAACTCTCCGGGCCAGGACTGAGGGTGGATCCCTGCCAGGAACCTGGGATCGCCTAGGTTTGCCTGTGCCAGGCCTATCCTAAGGATGAAGGGCTCCAGACTAAGTGTCCCTGGAGGGGTGATGGTCAGCCCAGCCACCAACTCCCCCCTCCCAAGCTGGGACCACGCTGCTCCCTCCCCTCCCGCCTTCCCAGCTCTGGGAAATGTCCCAGGAGAGCGGCCAGCTGTGAAAAGCTGCAGCAGCTGGAATGTGGGAGGGAGGGCAAGGCTTCTGGAAAGGCAGAGGCAGCCGGGGAGCAGGACTTATCTGTTACCTCCCCGTGAACTGACACCTCTGATTTAACCCCGTGCATGCCTGGAATGCCCTGTCCGCACATCTTCAGTCAACATCACCTCCTCACCTCAGGTCCCACCGCCGCCTGCCAGAGCCACAGCTGTAATTTCCAGAGCAGAGGCCTCACAGGGATGCTGGAGAGGATTCCTGGCTGTGGACAGGCTGCCTCGCTCTGTGGCTAAGCAGATTCATCACAGGCGGGAGAAGCAGGCAGGGCTTTCAGGAGGTGATTTGGGATGAAAGCGTGGAGGGATGAATACGGTATCACCTCCCTGCTCTGTCAGATCTGGAGCAGGGCCAGGAGAGGATTGTTTGCCGTGGCTCTGCTCCAAGCCAGAGGCACCACAATTGCAAACTCCCCCCCACTTCCCCGGCCCACGCAATCCAGAGCCCGCCCAGCCGACTGCTACGGGCAGTCCAGGGGAGGGAAAAACAACATTTTCCCACAAACCCGTGGCCTCACCCTTCCCCAGGCACGGACAGGGCAGATCCTGGAGCTGAAATTCGGCGCTGCCCTCACCACCCTGGCAGGGCTGTCTGTGTCCTCACACCTATTGCCCCACAGCAGGTCTGGGAATGCGGCCCAGCCCTGCAAATCCCATGGGATGGGGCTCCACGAGGCTGCACCTGCCGAGCTCACAGCTGGGACATCCTGGAGCTGCTGCTGTCCCCTTGAGTCTGTGCCACTCTGTGTCACCAGGTCAGTGGGGCTGAGGGACAGCCAGTGACAGGATCACCATCCTGCTCTGGAATCAGCAGAACATCCTGATGGTTTAGCATCAGACACCACCAGCGGGTCAGACCCTTGTCGTGCCTCAGTTTCCCCACCCATAATGGTGCTGCTGCACTGGGCATTCGCTTTACAGAGAAGCCACAACGAGTGATAATTAATATTGCACCAAACCTGCCGACAGACGGGTCACTGCTTGTCCAGGAGTCCTCTGTGGCCACACAGAATGAAGACTTGTCGCCACTGGACACTGGGCTGCTCCATTCTGGTATTTTATACCCAGAGAGGGTGATGGGGACAAGGTGAGGGTGGTGAGGACAAGGTGAGGGTGATGGGGACAAGGTGAGGGTGGTGGAGACAAGATGAGGGTGGTGAGGACAAGGTGAGGGTGATGGGGACAAAGTGAGGGTGGTGGGGACAAGATGAGGGTGGTGGGGACAAGATGAGGGTGGTGGGGACAAGGTGAGCTGCTGTGGCACAGGGTGGTCCCCATGACCACTGCAGCCCTGGGTTCCTTGGCTCTCAGGGATGGGATGAGCCAGCCCTGGAGGTGCCAGCCCCGCTCCCACCTCTGGCCACTGGAAAACCTCGGATGGCCTTAGGGCTTCACCCGTGCTAGGAAACAAGAGGAGCTGGGATGGGAAAACCCGTGGCTGGTGAGGCAAGGTCCTGGCCTTCCCCCGGGGCCGGTCCCCAGGGCTCCGGGGAACACAATGCCTTTGTTTGGGACTTGGCCTGCTGCAAGGAGCCCTTCCCTCGCTCAGCCCCAAAACACCAACCCTTCAAAAGGCCTGTGCTCCCCTCCCCTTCCCCCAGCGATGCTAATGTGCCAGGCCTCTTCTCATGAACCCTGGGAGAGATCAGGCTGGTAGACAGTTTCACCACTTGTTAAATGTGTGTTTAGCGATCTTGTGAGTAGACAAGAACAAATACAAACAAGCCGGGCTGGAGAGCCCCTGCCCCTCCGCCCTGCCTGGAACGCAGCAGCCCCAAAGCCTTTCTTCTCTAACCACTTCAAACTTTCATTTCTTCTGAAGCCACAACAAGGCACACTTTGTAAAGCAAATGAGTAAACAGCAACTTTCAGCTTAAAAGGAAAACAAGGGGGAGGGACTGTTTTTAATTACTGGATTTTAAAAAG